AAAACACCCGAAGTAAGAGGCCTCCCAGACGTCCTGATGACGGCAGTTTCTGATGATGCCCCCCGCTGGATTTGAAGCTGAAGTTCTGGTGTCTAACCTGACACAAGAAACTGTCAACTGACTATGGCAAGTCCATTTTACCCACACCTATGCCTGACCTTGCAGGAAACCAAGGAAACTTGATCATCATTTAGGGCACCAACATTTGCTTTGGCTTTAGCATATGGTCCTTATCTAAAACCTCTTGTGGAGTTTGTTTCATTTAGTCTGTTTGCTATTATTGATAAAAATAACTTCATCCAAAGAAGACTTTACATAGTTTATTTTTTAAAAATTGACTCCATAGTGCTTTCACACAGATTCTCTTGTGTTTGAAATAGGGTAAGAGGAGGATGTGCGAGTGTGGGTGGATTTTAGACAAAAATTGACACACGTCCAGTCTGCAGAGACGCCGGTGATACATGGTGTCTTAATTGTCTGACCCGAAACCTCCAAAGCCCTCAAGCCTTGTTCTTTTTCCAATTGCTCAGTGCCAGATGAATTATTCAAAGATCAGTGATGACAATTGGTTTAAACTCTGCAGCCGCAGCCCTGAGACTGCAAGGTCATTTCTAAGCATCCATCAGGCCTTCTCCGGGCCAGAAGCTCAGCCCTTGTTCCTGACAGTGGGTGAGGTAAAGAACACATTGGCTCCCAAGTACTGAGCCCTGCTGTCTTCTTTCTCAAGGGTGGGGAATACCAGCTCACTAGATAAAGGGCCCTGGGCAGAGAGACTGGGCATGAGCCCAAGGGTTGGACGCCATGTCTAGGGAGATGGCTGGTGTGGGCTGGGGTGGAGTGAGGAGGTGGCCTGAGCCTCCACCGTCTTCAGTTAAATATTACCCTTCTATTCTGCTGGACAAGTGAGTAAGGAAGCCTTGGAGGTGACGGATACTATCTGACTCCAGTCACCAGACAGATCCTGAGTGAAACCCACATTGCTAAACCCAGACAGCCCCTGACAGACGTGATAATGATACAATTGCGATTGTCTTAGACTACTGAGTATGGGGCAATTTGTTAAGTAGTGTTAGATAACTGGAGCAGTTGGTTTCCCCTCCCCCTTGCCAGCTTTTTGGTTGAGGAATGGAGCTTATGACTCATTTTGGCCAATAAGGCATGAGATAGAGTCCTCTGGACAACCTTCCAAGAAAGCTGTATTTGTTCCCAAGGAAGTCCCAGCCGCCATCTTGCTACCAGTCGCCATCTTGCTACCAGCCTCCATCAAGCCACCATAACCCAAGGACAGCACAATCTGGGGATGGAAGGGACATGGGTCCTTGAGGGCATCACCGAGTCACTGAATTGGCCAGTCCCTGAACTCACACCTAGTCCTGGCCTTCCTGATGTGAATATAACAAATACTTTTATTGTTCAGGGCAATTTGAATCAAATTAGTATTTGCTATTGAAAGTGTCCCATCTGCTGCAGGGAATGAGCCAGACCCCAGCCTGCATCAGCTCTGGAGAGGAGGCACTCAGGGCTGGGTCAATGGAGCATCAGCTAATTCCAGCCCCCTCCCTAACAGTCCCCTCCCCGCCTCATATAAAACCCTGCTCCTCCTGGTGATGAGGAGAGCACAAAGGGGGTGGGGGAACCCCCCTCCCAGGCCCTGAGCAGGGTGAGGGCTGAGGAAGGCAGGGCCAGGCCACATGAGTTGGCTAAGATTGGGTCATAGGATGGTGACTCTGAGGCCCCAGGCTGCCCAGAAGGCCTGTTTCTTTTTTTTTTTTTTTTTTTTTTTTTTTTTTAATTTTCTATAGGCATGTCTTATTTATCTATTTGTTTTGTTTGTTTGTTTGTTTTGGTTTATACATGCACTGGGTACAGTCAGAAGCCGGGAGGGCGAGAGAATTCACCAGAGCCAGAGCCGGGAGTAGAGCAGGCAGAAGGACCGAAGTACACTGCTGAGGGGAGCAGCGGGCGGCAGGAGAGGTCTGCGCGCCATGTGGGACCCTCCTTCGGTGGCCGGGGAGCAGCCGGGGATCGAACCGGCGCCGCAGAGGCCGCGGGCAGCTTCGCAACCCAGCGCTCAACCGCTGCGCCACCTGGGAGGCCCTCAGAAGGCCTGTTTCACCAGCACCACCAGAATCCTCCTCAAAGGCCTCACTTCAGTCTACTCCTCCCTAAGGAAGAGCACCAAGGTGGTGGCCATCTTGTGGCTGGAGACCCGGAGACCCCCAGAGTGCCCTAGATTGGCCCAGAGAGGCTGGGCTGGAAGTGGAGGCTGGCTGAGGAGGCTGGCCTGGCAGAGACGCAGCTCCTCCCCCGAGGTGACCCCAGGGGCTTGCATGCTGATTTGAGGCTAGCAGGTCTCCTTGTGCAGGGTAGCCCTGCCGTGGGAATTTGAATTTGCAGACAACAGGCCCTTTGGCCTGCTGGTTCCAGGGCGACAGTGGGCCCACAGACAGAGGCCTGAGCACCCTCAGGAAGATGCACCACCTCTGTGTGTTGCCAGCAGTCTGGGGACCCCAGTTTTTTCATTTGTATAGTGAAGGGTTAGGTAAAATCGTACTGGGACAAGCTTTCCCAGGGAGCCATCAACTCTCTCCTCTCACCCAGCTCCCACCTTCCAACAAACTTCCACGTCCCAACAGACAATCACACCTGGGGCAGCTTTCTGCCCTGAAGCCTCTTCTGGCCAAGTGCCTCTTGCCCTTGAATTGCTCTTGAACCTAGAGTTGGGCCTCCCTTCCCACAAAGCTGCCTGAGGGGCAGACAGGGATGGAGACACTCCCCTCCCGCCTCCCCTGGGGCTGAGAGGAAGGGCGAGGCAGCTTCCTGCTGCCATTTGCACCCTGTTACCACGTCCTCTCTTCCTGGGGTCCTCCTTTCTTACCTCAACTCCACATTGTTTGGGGCATCATTTGGGTACCCCTGGCAGGAGCTAGGGGCCCATCACTTAAGTTCAGCTGGGTTTTGCCCATAAAACCTTTAGGGTTGGGGACATTTCCTGGAGGCGATTTTACCTAACCCTTCATTATGTTGTAGAGCAACCCCGATACAAAACGGGGTGCCTGACTGTGGGTCCTCACCCGCGCGCTTAAAAGGACTTACCAATGCTCTACTGCAGGCACACGCGAAAGGTTAATAAAAGGTTTATTTACAAAGGGAAGGGGAAATGAGGAAATGTACAGCTCTGGGAGAAAAGTGGGAGACAAAGTTTTAAATGCGTCCTACCCAATCCGCTGATCAGGAATCCCAAAATGGCGCTCTCAGAGTTGGCCGCCAGCCAGGAGCGGTGAAGCCAGGAGGCGAGCGATCGCGAGCCAGAGAGAGCCCAAGGCCCACGTGTTTGGTTTTTATATCCAACCTGGCTGCCCAACTCCACCCTTAGGTCCCAGCCACCCTCCCTTGGTGGTGATGGGATTTGTCTTTCCCAGAGTCTTGATGGCTTTAGTCTGGAGTGGGGGTGGGGTCCACAAAGCCTGTATGGGATTAACTCAGGACATCACTTCCCCCTAACAATTCCCCCCTTTCACTTTTTGACCGGGGTCCCCAGACTGCTGGCAACACACAGAGGTGGTGCAGCCTCCTGAGGGTGCTCAGGCCTCTGACGGTGGGTCCACTGTCACCTCAGAACCAGCAGGCCAGAGGGCCTGTTGTCTGCAAATTCAAATTCCCAAGGCAGGGCTACCCAGGCAGAAAATCCAGCTCCACAGCAGATGGGGAGATGAGCCTTCCTTTACCCAGGAGAAAGCGGAGGAGGCCTGGGGAGGGTTGGCAGGGCCCAGGGTCCCTGGAGGCAGTGGGAACCTGAGCCGGAGTCAGGTTCTGAATCAACTTGGCTGTGCTCGGAGCCTGCTCCCCGGACCCCTGGGGGCGTGGGGCCTGCAGGAGGTGGCTGAGCCTTGCCTCTCTGGCTGAGCCCACACTTGCAGTGAGGGCGGGGTCCCAGCCTGCCTGGGTCCTGCACAAAAGCACATTCAGTGGAACCTACTGGTCCGCCCACTCCAGTGCCCGCTCAAGGCACGAGTGTCTGTTCTGGAGGCTGGTCACTTCCCAGGGGTCGTGTTTGCACATGAGGTGCCTTCGCTGACAAGGGCACAAGTCAAGACTGGAGCAAGAGGGCTCCGTGCACTGACCGGGTCTCAGCTGGAGGGGCAGCTTGAGGAGGGGCAGCTTGAGGAGGGGCAGAGCTCCAGGCCTGGATGTGCTGACTCCTCTCCCCGTGCCCCATCCCCACCCCCGCAGTTCTTAGGGCAGAATGCAGGTTCCCCTGCCTTCCTTGCCCTGTATCCACTTGTGATGGTTAGTTTTATGTCTTGACTTGGCTGGACCATGGGCCGAGGTTTTCAGTTACACCGTTTCTATGAAAGTGGTTTTGGATGAGGCTAACATTTAAATCAGGGACTTGGAGTAAAGCAAGTGGGCCTCGTGTCACCAGTGGAAGTCCTGCGAGAGCAAAGACGGACGTCCCATGAACAAGGGCATCGGCCAGTTTGTGGACCTGAACTGCATCTGGTTTAGGACCTGCCAAGCCTCCACCAGCGCGTCAGCCAAGTTCTTAAAAGATTTTTGTCTAGGGCCTCCCAAGTGGCGCAGGGGTTAAGTCTCAGCGCTATGTGATGTCCACAGCCACTGCAGCACGGGTTTGATCCCCGGCCAGGGAGCTGACCCACATGGTGCAGCAGCCCTCTCCTGACTCGCCCGCTGCTCCCCTCAGCAGTGTATTTCAGTCAGTCTGTCTGTTCTGCTCCCCGCTCTGTCTCTGGTGAATCCTCTCACCCCCCGCACCTCTGGCCTGCACCCCAGCTCTTGTATGCATAAAGAAATAAATCTTTAAGCAATAATAAAAAAAATTCTTCTAGATATGTATTCCTGTTTATTTCTCTAGTTCACTTAACTTAGGGAGGAAGTGGAGTTACCCCCACAAGGGGTCCTTGGCAATACCGCATGGTGTCACACGTGAATCTGCCCTGGCTCCTGCCCCTCGGCACCATGTGCAGCCTTGGTGACAGGTCACCCCTGGCAGGCCACCATGTGATCTGTGTGTATCAGAGGGGGAAGGGATGACCACTGCCTCACCCCTGCAGGCAGGAAGGGGCGATGAGTGGACAGAACCAACATCCCAATGGCTGGTGGCCCCAAGTGGTTTTATGCCATAATTCCTCAGATTTTGGGTATTCATCTCCCTCTCCCACTTCTTGAGAATGATTAAAAAAACTCATCCATGTATTTTTTTAACTGCTCGAGGAAATAAGCGATCAGAAAGAGTATTAAGGAAGGAGCCCTGCTTTATGATTTCTGAGTTGAGTTTATACACTTTAATGTTTGATAAAAACCTTGTGATTGTGGAGAGGCTGCCAATAAGCCTCAGTTCTGAGATTAATTTATAGAAAGGAAAAAAATGGTGACAGTTACACAATTATGGAGACAGCCACGCTCCCCCAGGCAGGTAGAAAATGCCCCAGACCCCACTCCTAAGATAAGCGTCAATTCACATTCCCAGGGGCAAAGCCTGACTTAGCAACTCAGCGCCCAGGCCGAGAAAGGCCCGGCCAAGGATGGACAGCTGGCATCTTGCACTTAGGAGTGGATTCTATTTTCCCGTGTGCACACAAACGAGCTGCCACAGGGACACAGTGACAGAGGACGGGTGTGTCAGGAGGAAGGTGGTCTCGGGGGCAGATTACACTGACAAAGACAGGAGCTGAGCCCATCTGAACCCCTGTCCAGTCTGGAGAACCTCCAGCCTCGCTCACCCACTTCTTCGCTGCGGGGAACATGGTTTCTGTATTTTTCTGTCCACAGTAGCCAGAAAGCACAATGGAGCACAAAGTTGGGGCTTTATACTTGCTATAGGTTTGCTGGCAAGGGTGAAAAGTCACATTGGGAGCAATCTGGAACTTTCTCCATGAGGCGGAATCATTAGAGTTGGTTGTGTGTGGGGTGGGGGTTTTGGAAGTAATTTGGGTCCAGCCCCTCAGACGAAGGCGGTTGCCTGAGGATCCACGTTGAGTTAGTGGTTGAACTGGGCCCAGAAAGGGCTTCTCCTCTCTTCCCCTCTTATCATGCCCAGAAACAAACGTAATAACCCAGCTACTCAAGCTGCCCTTGCTCCCCACTCCCTCACCCCCAATTCCTATGGTGAAACCCTCCAGAACATCAGAATGTGGCTATTTGGAGAGAGGTTCTTTAAACAGGTGATACTGTGAGCTGGGCGGCCTCCTGAGAGGGCATCTGGGCACAGGTGAGCATGCGAACAGAGGCATGACCCCGTGAGGACACCCAGAGAAGGCCAGCTGCTGGCCAAGGCGAGGCCATGACCTCAGGCTCTAGGTTCCAGGACCATGAGAAAATGAAAGTGTGTTGTTTAAGCCCCTGGCCTGTGGTATCTTGTGAGGGGGCACCGGCCCAGGAACCTACCAGGAGTGCATTTTCTGTAGTGCTTTCCGGGGCACTGGAAGTTGGGAACCACCCACTGTGGCTGGTGCAGCCAGAACCCACAGACAGCTGAGTTCAGGAGCAGAGAGAAAAGCTGACTGGGCAGAAGTGCACCCCAGATTGCCTGGAGGTGGTTCCCCTTCAAAATTGCAAACCCTGAAATGTACAAGCTGAGAAGAGGTCCATAAAGTGGGAGGCCACATCTGTCAGTGACCTTCCACACCCTCATGGACTCCCCTAAGGTGCTTCCTACCCACAGCTCAGGTTTCCTGTCAGGGCAATGGGCATCTTGTGGGCATTGTACTGCCTCATAGCCTGGAGGCTTCCATTTGCCAACGTAGTTCCCAAACTCAGGAAGCAGCCCTACGTGGGAACAAGCTGGCCCCAGGGCTCACGGGGTCCTCAGGAGAGCAACTGCATCATCCCGGGTCTGGCTGTCTTAGGCTCAAGATGGCGTCGGCAAATCTAGCTCCAAATCCCAGGCAGCCTCTTAGGTGGAACAGACATCGGTCTACATGATTCGATTTCAGGGCCTTGCACTGCACATGTTGCTCCTATGAACAGGAATGGTATCAGGGCCTGACAGGGCCTGATAATATTAAACAGACCAGCCAAATTTTAAAATTCTCATGGTCAGAGTCGCTTCTTTGGGTTAAGGCATTAAAGGCCCCTTTCAAAGTGTCACCAAGGGGCCATATGTATTAAGACATCGTCAGCCATTAACACCTCTTTGTGACTTCCTCAGGGTGGGCCCAGACTCACACTCAGCCCCTGAAAGACTGAGGTCTGGTCATTGAGTTCTGGGAGCAGAAGCTGGGAAGATTCTCGGCCTGTGGGGTGGAGGGCTGGAGAGCACAGACACGAGGTGTTGGCGGGATTCAGGTGAGGAAGCAGATAAATAATTGCACTGGGAGCACTGCGTGAGGATTCTGAACCAGCCAGACTTTCCCTATCAGAGTTGCCTTTTGGCCCCATGGCCAGGCTGGGAATGTGGTGAGGCCCAGGTGCATTGGAGCATGCAGTCCAGCTTGGTCTGTGTGAGAAATGGCATCTCAGAGGTGGCTTTGGCCTGGCGCCGTGAAGTTGGGAGCACAGGGGTGGGCACACGGCTGGACACCCACCTCTCCCAGGAAAGGGGAAGCTCTGGCTTCCCAAGACACTGCTGATTGGCATCAAGTGGTGTGTGTGTGTGTGTGTATGTGTGTGTGTGTGTGTGCCACACTCGGGCTCTCAGCCAATCAGCTTGCCTGCTGGCTCCAGCCTCCTGTCACCACCTTAGGGCGGGCAGAAGGCCTCTGGGGGAAGCAGGGGGGCAACAAGGGTCAGGTAGCTACAGCAAAGCTTGGGGCAGCCTGGGCCTTTCAGCCAGGGGCCGGCAGGGGAGCACAGGCAGGGCTGTCCGCCTGTCTGTCCACCGCGCATGGAGGGAGGCGGCGAGCTCAGCACGGGGAGGAGGACATCTGGTCGTAGTCGGGGCACTTGAGCAAGGCTGGGTAGTTGCTGCTCATCTGCAGGGAGGCGTCGCTGGAGATGTCCGAAGGGCTGCGGCCTCGGACCCAGGCGTCGGGGTGGAGGAACTGGCCCGAGTAGTCGGAGCAGTTGCTGAGCCTCGGGCGGTAGAAGCCAGGGTGAGGCCTATACATGTCCTCTGCGGTGTACCTCTTCATGAACAGGTACACGGACATCACCCCAGCACTCTGCAGTGGGGGGAGGGCAGAGGAGAGCTCAGCAGGGAGGCCTGGCCTGGTTCCTGCCTAGCTCAGGTCTGCACAGCCGGGGGGCAGTGGAGGGGGAGTGGTGGTGTGTGGGACAGGAGCAGGGCCCCTGGATTTCCTGCAAGGAGGGGACACGTGCAGGTAAGAGCGACATAGCCCGGGGTGAAGAAAGTCAGTCGAGTGGGGGTCCACTGTGCCCTCCCCCTGCCCCCGCCGCTGAGCCTGGGCAGCGCCCCCTCCCGCCCCAGCCTGCAGGAAGGGTTTACCTCTGTTAAAAGGAACGAGATGGCAGCGAAGGCGAATGACCAGCCGTACTTGTAGCTGAAATAGCTCTCCGCGTCCTTGGTCCTGTTGAGCATCTCATCGTTGATGCTGGAGATGTAGAGCACCAGGCCCACGACCAGAGACAGGCCTAGGTAGAGGCAAGGCACTCAGAGAAGGGCCCAGGGAGTCTGCGGATGGGGTGCCCACCTCCCCTTTGGATTCAGGAAGAAAGCTCTGGCCTTGGGGTGACTATGTTCTCAGCTGGACTCTCCTTCTGAAAGCCCTGTTCAGTCCATTCCCTTCTAGAAAGCAGATAGTTGCAGGTAGAAAGCTCCCCTGTTCTCACTCCAGGTGGTGCTCACCAGACTCACCTTCAGACGTATGTGTGCCTGAGCCCCACCCACCGGCATCTGAGTCCCCTGGCCTGGGCTGGGGCCGGGTCGCCTGGCCCTCTATGATCTGCAAAGCCCCCAGGCAACACTGACATGACCAAAGGGTGAGAATCACTGAGGAAGCACATAACCTTTTGCTAAACTGGGCATAAACTAGATTCCCCGGGGAAGAGGCGACCAGGGCCTCCAGTGGTCTATGCAGCCCACCCAGCACTGGGTGTGGTCCTACTGAGGTCAGTGGGTAGCAGAGGTCAGCAGGTCAACAGAGTTCACACAGATTCTGGCCAGCGTTAAGCCGGGAGTGCGGTGGGGCCCAGATGCCAACATCTGTGGTGCCAGTGCTGGCCTCGGGCAGCGGTCCTGTCAATTAGTGACTGTAATTGAATCAGGACATAATTAGTTACTCAGCTTTGAGTTGTTCAGGTTTCATTCCATTCACATCATTGCACCCAGGCATCTTAAAGGATGAGTGTTAAAGGAAAATAGGTGTGATTCAAGCCTTCCTTGGCACGTAACACGTGTGAGTCTTTGTATGCTCGCTCTTGTTTTCATTAAAACAGTTTCATGGGGTCCAGTCAGTCTGAGATTTCTAGTCCCGTAGCCCATGGGGAAAATGCTCAGGTGCCTCAAAGTTACTGTATAATCCTAATTATTGTGAAATTCATGGAAAGGTAAAGAAATCTGTACCTCATAGACTAGGTGGAAATATCACCAGGCAGAGTGTGAACTGAGGACATTGCATTGTTCAATAAATAATGGATGGATAACCTGTGCCCAAGAGCTGATTATCCTTTTTCCATCTATCATCCATCCATCCACCCAACCACCCACCCATCTATCCATCCATCCATCATCCATCCACCCACCTGTCCATCCACCCTCCCACCCACCCACCCATCTATCCATCCACCCACCCATCCATCCACCCACCCACCCATCCATCCACCCACCCATCTATCCATCCATCCACCCACCTGTCCTCCCACCCACCCACCCACCCATCTATCCATCCATCCATCCACCTGTCCACCCACCCACCCACCCACCCATCTATCCATCCACCCACCCACCCACCCACCTATCCATCCTCCCACCCACCCACCCACCCATCTATCCATCCATCCATCCCCCTGTCCACCCACCCACCCACCCACCCATCTATCCATCCACCCACCCACCCACCCAACTATCTATCCTCCCACCCACCCACCCACCCATCTATCCATCCATCCATCCACCTGTCCACCCACCCACCCACCTATCCATCCACCCACCCACCCCCACACACACCCACCTATCCATCCATCCACCCACCTGTCCATCCACCCACCCACCCACCCACACGCCCATCTATCCATCCATCCATCCATCCATCCATCCATCCATCCATCCATCCACCCACCCACCTATCTCCATCTGCCCTCCTCTCCACCCATCCATCATCTATCCATCCATCCACCCACCTGTACATCCATCTGCCCTGATACCCACCCATTCATCCACCCTCCTATCCACCCATTCATCATCCATCCATCCATCTTTCCTCTGCATCTCTTCCTGAGTCCTCCCCTACCCAAGTCCAGGGATCCAAGACACCTAAAGTACATGCTCTGTGACTCCTTTGTTCTGAGCTATTGTCTCCCAAAGGAAGGCCCTCATGAAAAGGTCACCTTGAAGGAGAGAGTCTGCCTTTGCCTCTACATCCTCTTCCCTGTTCACTCTACACTCCTTTTGATCACTTCATCTGCATCAGGCTGGGTTACCCAAAGCTTCACTCTCTCTATCCTTCAGGCTCCCTTTCCACCTCACCCCACTTTACTTCTTTACTGAAGTCCTACTCATTCTTCAAGACATCTCCTCCTTGTCACCTGCCCTGACCAACCTTTGATATGAGTTTCAATCACTGCTGTTGGCTCCCTTTGCTCTCCTTGCTGACTGCTGTGTTCCTGCTGTGTTCATACTCCTGCTTTATTTCCTGTCTCCCATTATGCTGGTCATTTTGTGGGCAGAGATGCTGGATCCCAGAACAAGATCTGGTGGGTTTCATCAATGAACGAATGATGAGGCACAGCCTGGAGTTGGTCCAGAAGAACCAGACCCATGCAAGGGACCTGGACCAGGGGTTGTGCCAGGGAAGTAAGGGGACAATAGCAGTCTCCCAAGGATGGCTGAGGGCTTGGGGGTGAGGGGTCATTCTGACAAAGGCTGGTTGTGCTTATGAGCACATAGTCCTTGCCAAAGTAAGAGGTGGGGATGGTGTAGAGGGAGGACAGGACCCTGAGCTCAGTCCAGCTCTGCCCTGGAGGACATGGAGGCTCACTGCCCCTCCAGAGGTAATGGACGGGTCCAAGGTCATCAGAAGTTTCCTTCCACGTGACTCAGTTCTGCAAGGGTCATCGACACAGCTGGGCCCCGTGCCAGAGGCTGAGCACCCATGACCAGGAATTCGCACAGCAGAGCTGTTGAGGAACCAAATGTCCAAAGCCCAGAATGTGTGAGAAGAAGACTTACCTGAGACAAATTTACTTACCCGAGAGGATAAAAAAGATGCCAGAGACAAAGGCCAGTATCGTTCTGTGGGGACGGATGTGTCCGATGTTGCTCAGGATGAACCCGATGAACATGAAGAAGAGGCTGACCAGAGGGAATGGCGTGGCCGAGCGAATCATTTCTAACCGAGGGGACAAAAGGACACTGTCAGCCTCCAGTGGCCTCGCTTCTCAGCCCCCCGAGATGAGTCTCTGGCAGAGTCTGCCTGCTGGTGCCCAAAGCTCCTGCCTGCAGGGTTCCTGGGCTCCATCCCTCCGTGGGTGGCTGGCACCTCCCAGGGCTGGCAGGGCTCCTGTCTGGGGTGTCTGACTTTAAATGCCAATGTATTCGGGGCCTCTGCTTTCTCTGGGCGTCAACTGTGCCCTCCAGAAAGTCTAATCAGCTGCCAATATGGGCAGCCATGGAAGGCCGCTGGTCACCATCTCTCGCTCCCTCTCCCAGGGGAGTCACCACCTTCGCGGGCACAGTCACTCTGGGGGTGCAGGGGGAAGAGCCTGGTCTCTCCTTAAATCTGTGGCTTCTGGGGAGCAGTTTTGTTGTGGATTTGTCTAGTCTTTGTCCCTGGTTCCTGGGCAATGACTTCTAAATCCTTGGGGTTTCCCAAGTGAGGGGAGCAGCTTTTGTTCACAGAGCTCCCCCCACACACCTGAGCTTATGCCAATGGAGTGACTCAGGAAGGGGGGCCCGAAAGGTCAACTCTGATTAGAGGGTTGGGGTCTTGAGCCCCATGGTATTGGCCTGATTCTGGGGAGAGGGTGGCTAGAGACTGAGCTCAATCATGCATTTGACCATTTGACCCAACCCAGCCATGTGTCCAACCCAACCCATGCTGGCGGCCAGGACCTCAGGACTCTGCCTGGTGTGTGTGTGAAGGAGTCTTGTTGGGGACTGCACATTTGCAGTGGATTTTGCACATTTGGCCTGTGGATCTGGGCTGTGTGCTTGAGCGAGTGGGGTGGGGAGTTGCAGCATTGCACTGTGAGTTGGGTCTGGGGGTCAGAGCCAAGCATGTTGAGTTCAAGGTCATGAAGTCAGTTTCTATGGGGGTCAGAGACCTTGGGTCAGTTCCTGGGTCTCTGGTCTGAATGTTTGTATCCCCCCATCACCCCTCCTTTATACGTTGAAGTCCTAACACCCACCATGATGGTTATTGGGGGGGTGCTCTGGTCGTAGGGTGGAACCCTCCTGCATGGAATTAGTGTTATTATAAAGGAGACCTCGCAGAGCTCTCTCCCCCTCGGCCACGAGACGACAGAGAGAGAAGAGAGCAGCAGGGAGCTGTGAGGAGGGCCTGGACCAGCATGTGGCCAGAACTGAGAGCAATAAATCTCTGTTGCTTAATAGTCACCCGGTTTGTGGTACTTTGTGAGAGCAGCCTGAAGGCATGATCCCCTCTCACAGCGGGCCCCCAGCATGGAGACTCCAGCAGCCTGTCCCCACCACTCGGAAAATGACTGATACACAGCTCTGGGGACTCAGACCAGCAAACGAGTCGAGTGGAGGGTATTCGTTCTCGAGAAATGAGCCAGTCCCCCCGGCTCTTCCCTCCACTCCGTTCTGCTGTGTCCAACTCCATGGCCCGGGTACCCACGGCCCAGGTTGGGAAGTTGGAGGCACCTACTTAGCACGTTGACGGTGGACTCAGACGTCAGCTGGGTGTTCATGGGCATCACGTATTCTATGGTGAAGCAGCGCCCCCGCTCCTCACCTGCGAAGACAAGAATCACTGACATGTCTGTCCTTCCTGAACGTGGATCCGGAGTCAGCACGCGCACCTGGCCTTTCCAGGTGCGTCCATGCTCTGTGACCCAGTGCGTGTTTGCATGTGGGTGGATGCCACCCTAGGGGTCCCGTTCCCGGCTGGGGGCCCACACAGGGCTGGGAGCACATCCTGACTCCTCTCTTCTCTCCTCACCAGCGTGAAGGTGGACGGAGGGCTGAGGGTCCCGTGAAGGGCATCGGCCCTGCAGCTCAGGGTGGAGTAAATGGCCTGGGGCCATCTTGGAGCTTTTGGGCAGACTGGACTGATCATGGGGCCCGGCTAGCTTGGATTCCCTAGTGTGGGTGTCATGGAGCAGAAGCCCCAAAGCTCTGGCTTAGCTTTGGGGGGTCAGTCCTCGTGGCTTTAAACTCTGCTACAAATTGAGGCAGAGACGGATGCCACACGGCCCAGGCAGCGGGAGGTGAGGGCAGGGTCGGATGCCGCACCCCAAGCACCCCCAGCAATTCCCCGGGGACCAGACTGTGGTTCCCCCCTGCCAAATACTGGTGGGGGGGCAACTGCCACCCCCAACCTGCAAAGTCACACCATGAAGCTGGGAGGCCCAGCTCCCACTGCCCAGTGCACATGTAGGATAAAGGGCCTTTCAAGAGAGACCCAGGACCATCTGTGGCAATTCCGGCCAATCCGGGCTCGATGCCAGTCCCGCAGGGCACGGAGATGCTCCTCTTGGGCAGGCTGGCTGTGGACCACGGCACAGGGTGGGAGGGGACAGCACTTGGCTAGCAACTCCAAGGCGTCTGAGGGGCACTAGGGCGCTGGCGGGAGACCCAGATCAATGGAGCCGGTGCCCACACCATCCTGTACAGCTGGCAGCGCCTGCACTGGGCTCTCTGCATCGTTTCATGGCCTCAGAACAAAGCAACAGCTGAGTGCACCCCTTTGAACAGTGGATACAAGTGATAGTGAGTCAGAGACTTCTTTCGCCTCCCTGAACCCTGTATCCTCGTGTGCAGAGTGGAAAGAGTACCGAGTCCTCCCTGGCAGTGTGGTGGGCTTGAGATGGGGAATGCAAGGGGCTCAGGCATGGTGGGGCGTCTTCGGATCCCGGCAACGGCACCCTCACTCAGCCCTGGAGGCGGGTGGGGGAGGGTGTGGCTACACTCGTCTCTTGGGTGGAAAGGCCCAGGGACGAGGGGCTGGCTCGGATGGGCGTGTGGCATCAGGACCGGTTCCGTCTGGCCGCTGCGGGGAGCATGGGCCAGAGCTCACCGGCATGGACTTCCTTGAGGATCGCCCAGTGTGAGTGGTCTCCTCCAAGCAGGGCATCTCTTGGGGAGGCTCTGGGGCTGCTCCCCACCCCGGGGGCCCTTACCAGCCAGGAAGCAGACCCGCCACAGGCCCGAGTGCAGGGACATCTTGATCTCCGTGCTCTGGTTCTGGGGCAGGATCACCCCCTCCTCCAGGTACAGCCAGTAGTCAGTGCTGACGGCGATGCCCAGCAGGCCCAGGCCACAGACAGCAAAGACGCTGCTCAGCAGGGTCAGGGCCTTCCTGCCGCAGGCGCTCATCTTCCCGGAGGGTGGGGTGGGCGGCCTGCAGCCGCATCCACTGGCGCAGAGTGGGCTCTGGGGGAGGACAGAGGTGGACTCCGGTAACTAAAGCCTGCCCTGCCCAGCTAAATGGATGGATAAAGGCCAGCTCCCTTACGCCAGGTCACGGTGAAGTAATGTCATTCATTCATTCATTCATTTATTCAGCAAGCCGTTGTCTAACATGAGATAAAATAGTGAACACAACACTGCCCTTGAAGAGTAATCTGGAGAAGAACCAAGATGTCCCAAAGCAATGTCACAGCAAAGTGATGGGGGCTGTGGCAGAGATCTGCCCTCAGGCCCCAGGCGCATGGAGAAGGAGTGGATCAGTAGACCTCTGCTTCTGTGTCGAGGCTCTGAGGTTCAACTGCCTCCTGGCAGAAGCAGCAGGATCCAGAGGGAGAGGCAGTGGATGGGGACAGCCAGGGGACCGAGAAGGAGGGCTCCCGGGGAAGGAATGGAAGTAAATAAAGTGCACCACAGCCCAAGTTCACAGGCCTTTGAAACCCACGCCGTCAGGTTGTCTGATCCCCTGCCTGCTCCATGCAGGCCACCGGCAGGAACCAGTTCTGAATCAGCCAGAGAGAAGCTAAGAGTCTGAGACCACGCCCGCCGAGACCACTCAGCCCTAAGGAATGACGGATGTTACCATACACAGCAGAAGGGATGAAGAAGGAGGCCATCACCGCAGTAAACCAAGTCAAAGTGACAAAGACAATTATCGGATGTTTACAGAGCAGATACTTTTTTTTTTGAAAGATTTATTTATTTATGCATGCAAGAACTGGGGTACAGGCCAGAAGTGCAGGGGGTGAGAGGATTCACCAGAGACAGAGTGGGGAGCAGAACAGGCAGATTTGCTGAACTACCCTGCTGAGGAGAGCAGCAGGGGAGACAGGAGAGGTCTGCCGCGCCATGTGGGCAGCTCCCTGGCCAGGGATCGAACTCATGCAGCAGTGGCTGTGAATAGCTTCATAGTGCTGAGACTTAACCCCTTGTGCCACCAGGGAGGCCCCTACATAGCAGATAATTTGACAAAGCAAAATACTTATATCAACTAGTAGACACTAATAAATGAAGGGGAGTTTCTGAGGTTAAGAGGAAGGGGGAGGGAGAAAGAACCACAGGGGTATAAGGGATGATGGTAGAAGAAATCTTAGGAAGGGAGCAGGAGGGGTGCCTGAATTTGAACGTTACCCTACCTCATCCTCAGGACCTTTCTCTGTGACACCCCGTGAGTGTTTGCCAAATGGGTTCCATGAGCTATGATTCCAGGGAATATTCTAGAAAAAGGACTCTGGTGTAAAGGGCTAGGGAGCACTGCACCCCCTCTTAGAGAATCACATTGCTCTTAAATACATTAAAGGCCTGAAAGCCTGTTGAGCTGTACTCTCTCCAGTATTTTCCAAACCAAATGGTGTCTTGATCTGTAAAATCCACCTTGGGAAGGGTGCAGGCCCCCAGGAGGAATGACAAGGCCTGTCCTGCTCACTCCACGACATTGCAGGGAGAGTAAACGCAACAGCAGATATGGAAAATCTAAAGCGTGGTCCTGGTGTATGGTATTAATATTATTAAGCAACAAAAGGCCAAATAAACCCCTGTCCGTGCAAGGAAGATGGATTAGGACTTCTGAAATACGAGGGCTACTGCCTGGCTGGAGCCGGACAGCCGATTTTAATGGTAAGCTTAGGAGAGAGACAAAAAAGATTCGGGTCTTTGAGACTTAGAAAAATGACAGAGGAGAGGAGAGGAAATTGGATCTGAATCTATAAAAGCAAGGAACAAAAAAAGGCCGAAGTTGACGCAATCCATCAAACTGTATAATGGCAGACCTTAAGCCTGGAGTGAGCCTTGGGAAAACCGAATGTAACAAATTTGTGGAGCTCTACACAGAGCGAGAAAGAATAATCTTTTTCATCACACGATTGTATTTACGAAAACATCTTTATAAATAAATAAAATCATTGGCTGAGTACTGAAAAGTTCTTTAGATAGAATAGCTCATCGGGATCGTACTATACCCCATGAAGAGGCAGTGTTAAACCCATGGATGGGGAAACTGAGGCAGAGAGATGTCAGGTAGCCTACAGGATGTCATAGGTGCCCAGTAGACTGGATTTAATCCAGGTCTAATGTCAAAGTGCAGGCTCCAGCAACACCATCTCCATAAGGAAGGGAAGGTCTGGTGAAGAGTCACATCCAAAGCAGGGAGTCTAGCAAAGAATGCCACAAATACCTGGAAGATTGTCATTACCAATGGCCAAATATTCCAGAAGGGTGGTTTCTTGATGCTATTGGGCTCCCCCCATCTCTCGTATCAGATCCAAGGAGCTCTGCTCCCACTCAGCACTTCTTTTTTTTTTTTTTTTTTAATAGAGGCATGTTTATTTATTTATTTGTTTGTTTGTTTATACAAGCACTGGGTACAGTGAGAAGCGCGGGAGGGTGAGAGAATTCACCAGAGCCAGAGCGGGGAGCAGAGCAGGCAGAGTGACGAAGTACACTGCTGAGGGGAGCAGCGGGCGGCAGGAGAGGTCTGCGCGCCATGCGGGACCCTCCTCCCGTGGCCGGGGAGCAGCCGGGGATCGAACCGGCGCCGCAGAGGCCATGGGCAGCTTCGCAACCAGCGCTCAACCACTGCGCCACCGGGGAGGCCCCCACTCAGCACTTCTGATGCTGAAAACCACTTTCAGAGCAGGAGGAACAGTTTTTCCCTCAACCACACCCCAGAAAGTTGAGGTCCAGAGGGGAGCTTTACTTGACATCACCAGGCAGTTGCGTGGAGGCCTAAGAGTGAACTGCACAGCTTCTGAATGCCGATCCCAAACCGTGTGCTCCACATGGAAAATTGCACCACAGGAGATGAAGATGACCTATGCCTCCCCACTCTGCAGCCACCACCATCACCAACACCGCAGCTGCTGCCATGCAGCCTGCCCCAGCCACTGCACATGTGCATTCTCCCCCTGCAGTCTTCAGTGGATGGGGCCGGCGTGGGAGACTCTGAGGTCCTCATTGCCACCTAACGTGGTCCTTGTCCCCGGCTTTGTCTTCATGGGGTTGCTTCTTCTCTGGGGTCCTATCCCTCACTTACACCCTTCACTTGATTTTCCCGTTGGGGGAGGAAGACTTATTTTTTGTAAGTTGCTGCCACCAGCAGAGAGTTAATCTCAAATATTAAATAAATAAAACGGGGTGTGAAACCACGTGTTTAACATGAGCTCGGTTGTGAAACAAACTCATGGACTGGGAAGAAATAAACCCAAACATGCATGGCGGATGCTTCTGGGGAATGAGGGTGTGTGCATCTGATTTTATGCTTTTTCTGTGTGCAGCAGAGATTCTAGAAGGACATGGATTATTTCTCTATCCAAACAAGAAAACTAAATGAAAGACCGGAGCTGTCAATTCTCTGATTGCGGCTCCTTGTCAACAGTAGCCTCAGCTGACTCCCGGGCTGGATGCTGAGATAGTGTCATCTTTGCGTTTGAGTCCCCAAATCACAGCAGCTTTCAGCCTTTTAAGATGATTACCCGGGTGCCATTACCTCTAAGTATTAGCTTGTTAATTATCAGGAATTAACAGTCGCTAATTATCATCCTAGACTAGCAATTAGGGAGCAATGTCTTGTGGAGATTAAATCGCTAATGGCACATTTCCCTGCCCAAGCCAATAATAAAAGGACTCAGGAGGAAATGCTTAGGTGCTCACGCAAAGGTGAGGTTACAAGCAGCAGAGAGGCCGGAGGAAGCCGCCAGGGAGGATGGACAGGGATGAAGCAGAAATAAGGGGGATGAAAGTGAAAGGCTCGGTCTACACAGAGTCCTGATTTTGGGTTCCTAGTAGCCTAGAGACACCCAGTAGCAGTCTGATGAAGGGCTTGGGAGGCAGGGGATCCAGCCAGTTCCAGCAGCTGCTCCTGTGAGCTGGTCTAGTGACTCAGCTTGGCCAGCACCCAGGGACAAGCTGGGGACCAGAGGGCAGCCCAGTGGCCCAGGGCCTGCCTGCTTCCCACCATAGTTAAAATATAACCTTCTGTAGTGGCTGAAAAATGACCACAAATTCTCTGACATTCTTTCCCTTGAGAGGTGGGGTCCATGCACGTCTCCACATGTCCCCCCTCCCTGGCCTCAGAGTCCAAGCAGGAGTGTGACTGCTGGACACCTCAGGACAGAGGTGATGCTATGTGGCTTCTGAGGCTGCATCACAAAGGAAGGGGGGGAAGTTTCCACTAGTCCTCTTGGGAGCTCACTCAGCGGGGAGCCAGTCTGATAACCCCGAGTCCTCCATGCTTTAGAGCAGGGTTGTCAACCTCAGTCCTACTGACATTCAGGGCTGGATCATTCTGTTTTATGGAGGGGGAAGGGAGGCTCTGGGGTGGGGTGGAGCAGGGGTGGAGAATATCATGTGCATTGGAGGCTGCCTCTCTGCCTCCATTCACCAGATATTGGCAGCACCCCATTTATAATAAACCAGCATGGCCACAGGGGCAGTTTTGAAGATCTACGCTGCTCTGCATAATGGCGTAAGAGTGTCTTGGTGGTAGGCTCAGTGGCACCTTGGCAGCACAGGTAACAAATACAATGTTAGTAAACACAGTCTGGGTGTTATGTGCCCAGAACAACAGAGGCTCAGCGTCAGCAGGGAATGTGTCACCTCAAGCCTAAGACCTGCAGGCGTCATTGCTGTCACACTCTCCCACGCCTCAGTCAGAGACCCTAGTGGCTGGCTGGGAGCTGGTGAGTGGCCGGTTTTCCATGCCGCTGCCACCAGGCTCTCTGCACACTGCTGAGATGCCCTTTGGAGGCTGTGAGCACCGCCAAGTAGGATTCTCTGTCCTTAGACAAAAGCAAGACCCAAGGAGGATGCTTTCTGCATTCCAAGTGCTCCCTGCCCCCGTGCTAGGAGCAGAGCCTGCCGGCCTCTCTGTGAGGCATCCAGGCTGCTGAGCTGAGGACCAGCCCTCAGGGCAGCTCTGAGACAGGG